AGCAAGCTGTGGACCAGTTGCGTAGCATGTTAGCAGAAGGAGGGTTCGACTTAAGACAGTGGGCTAGCAGTCATCCAGCGGTGGTAGCTCATCTACCGACAGAAGCCCGGTCATCAGCTACAGAGCAGTGGTTGGTGCAAAATCGTGTTGACCTTATGGAACCTACATTAGGCCTCAGGTGGAATTGTGCAGCTGATACCCTCGGCTATCATTATCGGCTCATTGAGCATGCAGAACTGACGATGAGAGCTGCTTACCAGGTGTTGGCGTCCCAATATGATCCACTGGGGTTCATATTGCCATTCACCACCAGAGCAAAGGTGATCATCCAACAGTTGTGGGCTAAAAAGAGAGACTGGGATGACCCCGATCTACCGCCAAACCTTAAGGCCACCTGGACTGACTGGGATAGCGAGCTTAAACAACTCTCTACAGTTTCCATTCCTCGCTGTTACACGCCAGCCTCCACAACTGCAGCAGAACAGCACAGCTCCCTTCATGTGTTCTGCGATGCCTATGAAAGAGCGTACGGAGCAGTGGCATATTTGGCCTTTGAAACCAGCGGTGACATTCATGTTTCCTTTGTAATGGCCAGATCACGGGTTGCTCCTAAGAGGCAGCAGTCTATACCCCGCCTGGAGCTTTGCGCTGCCTTAGCTGGAGCTCAGCTGGCCAAACTGGTGAGGGATGAGCTGACACTCTCCATCAGTCAGACAATTCTGTGGACAGACTCCATGACCGTGCTAGAGTGGATTCAGTCAGACTCTTGCCGGTACAAGGTGTTAGTTGGGACAAGAGTCACCGAGATCCAAGAATTGACAGACTACAGCTCTTGGAGGTATGTTAACACGCAGGATAATCCAGCTGACGACATAACGAGAGGCAAAACCCTTCAAAGTTTGTCCGAGCCCAGTCGGTGGAGTGGCCTCCATTCTTGAAACAAAGCCCAGAGCACTGGCCCAAAAGACCTGAAGTTGCACTGTCAGAAGTAGTTTCTGAATTGAAAGGCCTAATGTGCTACTCTGTTATGGCAGTTGGAATGGAGTCCAACCTCCCTGATGTTACACAGTTCAAGACCTGGCGAGAGTTAGTAAGGGCAACTCTACAAGTCTGTCAAGGGGCGGCCACATCAAACAGTGAAATAATGACTAACAGAGAGGCGGAAGCTGTCTTGTTGAGGGCATGTCAGGCTCAGAGCTTCCCGGAAGAGGTAGCTGCCCTTAAAGCAAAGAAATGTATTCCTGCACACAGTCGATTAGTTAACCTCGCTCCAGAGTGGGACCCCCTGACCAACATGATACGAGTCGGGGGCCGTCTAAGAAGGCTTGCAAACTCAGACCCAGAACAAATTCATCCCATTGTACTGGACCCAAGACACGCGGTAACAAAGCTCCTTATTCAAGAATTTGACGAGCGTCTGTTACATCCGGGAAATGAGAGAGTCTATGCTGAGATACGTAGGCAGTATTGGGTTCTCAGAGGACGCCAGGCTATCAAGCACCATCAACTCCATTGTCAGCCCTGTCAGCGCTGGAGAGCGCAGCCAAAGGTACCTCAAATGGCAGATTTGCCACCAGAACGCCTCCGTCTACTCTGCCCACCCTTTTATTCAACGGGTGTTGACTGCTTTGGCCCGTACCTGGTCAAGATAGGAAGGAGAAATGAGAAACGCTGGGGCCTGATCTTCAAATGCCTCACAACCAGGGCAGTTCACATCGAGCTTCTTAATTCGATGGATGTCGATGCCTTCCTTCTTGCACTCCGCAGGCTCATTGCCAGAAGAGGACAACCTCGCGAGATCCGTTCTGATTGTGGCACCAACTTCCGCGGGGCAGAAAGAGAGCTACGGGAAGCCTTCTGCAGTATGGAGTCAGAACTCCAAATCCGTCTTGCAGACCACCAAATTGACTTTAAGCTTAACCCGCCCAGCGCTCCTCATTTTGGCGGAATATGGGAGCGCGAGGTCCGCTCTATAAAAAATGCTCTCCAGGTAGCCATGGGGAACCAAGCAGTCACAGAGGATGTTCTGTCCACAATCCTAGTGGAAGTGGAGGGGATTCTCAATTCGAAACCTCTGGGATATGCCTCGACAGATGTTGCCGACATCGATCCGATTACACCAAACCTTCTCCTTATGGGGCGGCGGGATGCCTCTCTCCCTCAGGTGGCGTATGCTCCAGGAGACATGGGGCAGCGGAGGTGGCGTCACTGTCAACACATGGCGGATCAATTCTGGATACAGTTCACCAAAAACTACTTGCCTACACTTCAGACAAGGCAGAAGTGGCATAAAGCTTCCGAAAACCTGGAGGTCGACTCTGTTGTACTGATTGTGGATCCGCAACTCCCTAGAGCTCAGTGGCCCATAGGCAGAGTTCGGAAGACATTGCCCAGCAGTGATGGATGTGTGCGAACTGTTGAAGTTGTCATTGACGGTAAAGCTTACATTAGACCAGTTGCACGCTTGATACAGTTGCCTGCTCTAGAAGGTAACACCACAGACAGTTAGAGAATTCTCTTGATTACCCAATTGCTGATCAATTGTGGGGGCGGCTGTTGCGAATTCTCTCCCTTTAGAAATTGAGCTGGTTACGTGGGTGACGTTTTAAGTTGCGTTGTACGCAGATAACGTAGTGCAGCGTTCTCAGCACTTACGAACTAAGTGTAATTGCCTATTCACTAAGCCACCCGAGTTGAGCGATCATATCGTGCAAGCGTTCATGTGCAAGAGAAAGTTTATGACAAAGTAAGTTTCCTTCGATGTATATTGTTAATATTGCAGTTGAAATACAATGTGACGATCTGTGCTGATTTAGATAATGTTTATTATGTTTAGCGATCTTTCTAACGGTAATTTGATCCTGCTTAACGAGCAGATTATCCCGCTAGCATTGCGGCTCGGTTTGTTCATATTTACTAATTAATACTTTGAAATGATTTTCTCTGTCATTTAGTACTGCCAGTGCTAATGAAGACCTTCAATTTCTATAACTTACATTCGGTGTTTTGCATTTAATTGCATTATGCAGTTTATTGTAGATTCATATTAATAGGCCTATATTTCTTGATTTATAATATATTTCATGTATCTGTGCACTTTACAGAGATGTTTATATTTGAGTTTGTAATATCTTAAGTTGTTGAATAATTCAGTGAGTGAATATTTATTTCTGTTATGTTATTTATTTCAGAAACTACCATGTACCAGTATGGTCACTCTTGTGCATTAAACACTTGAACTCTCTCTGATGACTCCAACTCCTTTACCAGAGTTCTGCAGCGGTCAATAGCATAGTCCACCAGTTTTCAGTGGGGCAATCCCCAATAACGCGCCTGGTATTTACGTTGAAAAACAATGGTAAAAAAAAACATGTTCTGTGTGAACTGTAAGGCCGGAGACACACTGAATGCGTGGCGTGAGCGTGGCATTTCTGTAGCGTGTCAGCTGCGTGGCGGCTGCATCATGTTTTCTGAGTCTTTGCACACCTCGCGTAGCCAGACCTTCAGACAGCTTTCTTTGGCCAAGGCCCGCCCATAAGGCCGTTTGACTGACATGTCAAACAACCAATTACAGTTCGTTTCGTACAGCGTCATGTTTCAGGGCGTGGAAATGTCCCCACAACAACAGATCGGCGTGCAACAAGTCAGTCAGCAGCAGTTACTGGAGTGCCTGCCTTATGGATCAATTCGTTAACAACGCTCCGCGCTATTAAATTCGCCCACGAACTCGCGCTCATGTCCATCTAATGCCCGCTTTGTCAACGCCGTACATTGAATACTCACATGAGTCAGGCTGCGAATGTAAGTTACGTCCCCGCCACAGCGCGCTCACGCCTACTAAATAAACGCCTAACCTCCGGCGCCGCGTACTCGCTATTCCCTTTAGCCTTTAGTTTAGCACATCTAGTGGATGCATAACGCAAACCCAGTCAAACGTTTGACTCTGCAGTATCTTATGTGCCTTATAATCCAGTGCGCCCTATATATGAATACTGAATCGGCCAGCTGCGATGTCAGCGTAGACCTGTTTGCCCACAAACACGGCTGATATCCCCTTCGCAATTAGGTACTTCACTTGATCGTCCATAATAGATAGGAGGGGACATACAACTACGTTTAGCTGATCTTGATAAATACTCATTGTCACCTTTTACTGTCTATGATTGTCACTCATAAACACAACAGTTTTTCTTCCGCAATCACACATCTGCGCTTTGTTTCCCGGCGGACAGAAAATAAACGCGACACCCGGAAATCCGATAAAATTCAACCAATCAGGTGACGACTTCGACATTCCTGAAGTGTTTCCAGTTAAGTGTACCATATGCATCAGACGTTTAGCCTACGTTCCGTGGGCGTGACGTCTGAGGCTGAGACTATTGCACACCAGAAGCGTGTCTGACGAGGCGCTGCTGCTAAGTGATGGAGGGACAGTCTACATTTGGATTTGCGGTGTGTTGCTCTTGCCTTTACGACAATAATTTCAACTGTTATCACACATCTTCCAAAATCCGAAAAATAATTAATAATATAATTAATTATTATTAATTATAATAATTATACAATATATATTATTAATTAATATAATATACATAGTATAATAATAACTATATAATATATATTATTAATTATATAATTAATAATTAAAAATAACTAAATAAAAAAGTAACGTTAGCCACAGATATATGATCTTTCTTGAAATAGTATAGCCTACAAACTGAACATATTCCTTCAAATAAATAAATAAATAAGGAATTGTAAAGAGATTTGATTTCAGGTAGAACAAACCGACTTTGAGATCTGTTTACTTCATAATCTTTCTACATAGGCCTACTCCGATCAAAGCTGCAATTTTGTAACTTGAGGAAAATGCAGATCACACACTGGGGTGCACTGTGAGTGACGGTCGTCATGCCGACGTGTGCAGCAGGCTACACACTACACACACAATACACAGATGAACTGCGAGTCAAACGGCTGTTTTCGACTCTTATGCCAATCGCTTGTCGTCCTTTTCCCGTTTAAAAATAAAATAATAGTTAATAATATGGCGGCTTGTTTGGTACCGGATTTCCCAGCTGTAAGGATTGCCTTAGAACATTTGGCCGAGTTAGGTAAGAAATTGTCTTTTTAAGCGGAAAAAAACGTATTTCACGCACACAAATTCATACGCCAACTAACGTTAGTGGCAAAACAGCCTACTAGCATCGCTTCAAGCACACCAATTAGGCTACGTTATGTCTTTATAATACATATTAAGAATCGAGTTTTAATTCAGTGAAATAATGTAGATTAATTTACACCTTACAGATACACGACTGAGGGAAGAAGGGGTTTATTTTAGTCAAGAAGCAAGTCACCATCTGAGAGAGACAGCTGAAGCCATTAAAGAGCTGGTATTAAGTATATATTTAATTATGTCCTATTTGTCATTTCTGTTTTGCAGTAGGCTACGTCACATTTTAATGCCCTGTAATAATTTTCTTAAAATAGTTGGCTATACATGATCAATTTCACAATTTTTAGAGATGGATTTCATAACAGATGTTTTCTTTTGTCAAAATGAATTCAACATAGAGGTGAATTCAAATAATCTCATGATAGTTTGAGTTTTAAGTGCCATCATACTTTCTAACATGAAAAATTGGTAAATGTATTCATATTCTGAGTGTTTCTTCTTATTTTCCTTTCTCTAATCAAAATGATAGAGAAAGAATAATTTTCCATCCTATTAAAGTTAAACATTACCAAATTCAGGTAGGCCTACTGCATTACAGGAATGATCAATATATGTGTTCATATCATGGTGGCAATCTTATTTAGGAATCATCTAGAAAAACAGCACGTGAGAAACTTGAGGTTGAAACCATTGAGACAAGCAAGCTTCGACATAAAAAAATTAACCTACAGGATGAAATCAAAAATGAAATATCAGGTGAGTTCATCCACAAAGCTTTGGAAACCTGTTGAATCCATGAAATAAAAGTCTAAATGATGTGGCCACAACTCATGGTTAATGGGAAACTGTAACTTCCTAAAGATGTTTGTTGATGTTTTTGAAGCTTGTGTAGCTGCAGCTAGAGAAGATAATGCTGCAGTGTTGAATCAACTTCAGTCTGAGCTGAAATCTGTAGTAGATGACATACAATCCATGGAGGAGAAGCAACAAATCTTTGAACAAGAAAATGCTGTTCTGCAGTGAGTCTTCAAACATGTTGACAGGGATCATGGGAAATGTAGTTTCCATTAGGCTATTATTTGTGCATGTGTTTTATTTTTAAGCTAGGCCATTATTTTTAAGTGCATGTGTACATTTCTTTCAACATTAACTTTCTTGTAAAAGAAATAGGTGTGTTCGACGTCAGCTGACTGCATGTAATCGACCACTTGCAGTCGGGGAGGAATTGAAAGCGGAGACAAAGTCGGACAGTCGGAAAGTGGTGCTCACGCAATGTTTGCGTATACTGTATCAGAAAAGCAAAGCGAAAAACTGTTGAGAAAGTGGATAAGATGTAATATTTGTCAAATACACAGAGCAGCGCGATGTTAATTGAGATGACTGGATAAGCTCCTGTTATCTGAAGGTGCTTCTCCCAAACTTTGTTCCATATCAAGTCAAACACACCTAAGGGCTTTCAAAGGCCGGGCTATCTTTTTTCTCTCACCAATGATGAGCATTTGAGGAAATTAGTCCTTATTTTTGCAGTTCTGTTTGGTGCCATAGAAATGACACACTTTAGCATTATAGCTCACAAATGATAAAATGCATGTTTGCTAACTTGAATGGGTTAAATGCAGAGAACAAATTCTGAATATGGGTTCCCATTCTTGGCCTTCACATTTTCTCTTGTCATTTCATTTCAGTCGGGAGAGAGAAAACATTAAAGGAAACTATGGAGAAGCTGTTGATCAGATGAATCAGCAGCTGTCAAAAAAAGCTGGTACAAAGATACTGCTTACGGAAAAACAGAATGAGATCCAGTCATTGAAGGACGAAATTGTCCAGGTGGAAATAGCCCAATGGGACCTAAAAGAAAACATGATTCAGAAGAGGAAAACATTTGCTGAAAGCAAACACACTATAGAAAAGGAGGTAGACTGAGCCTATTTTTTCAAACAGGATAGATTTTCACTCAAAAGCTGGGATTTAATTAATATTTTCCCTGTTTAGATAGAGGAAACTGCTCTTAAGATTAAAGAACAAAGAAAAATCTATGCAGAAACACGCATGGAAATGGTTATCATTACATCAGAGCTACAAGACAAGGGGGAGACAGTCACACAGTGTGAAAACGTAAGAATATACACGTTGTAAAATGCCAATACAATAATGTTGGTATGAAATGATTTGTATGGCATTCATCTGGTTTCAGCATATCTCCCAGTTGGAGAAAAACATCGCTGGACTGAATGCATCTAAAATAAAGTCCAAAGATTGGCTTCATGAGGAGAGCAGTAAGACAGAAGAACTTGATCGACAAAAGTAACACACTGCAAAACAGTTCTCTTTATGTTTTCTTCACCTATGGTCAACAGAAATCAGCTTTGTTATTAATAATCAACAGGGAGTTTTATGAACGAGAACTGCTTGAATCGGCAGCAGCATTTGAACAGAAAGTTCAGGCCATTCAAGAACAGATGTTAGAGGTAAGTAGAGGCAGACATCTTTGTAAAACTCGTGACAATAAACAAATGGCTGCTCCATGTTTAATGCACTCTTTTTGTAAAGGGATCAAAACCCTCAAATCTCAGTCTTTAGATGTCAGATCTGAAGCATTGATTTTCTGCCTCTGGCAGGTCCCGCTGAGCAGCCGTCACATTGAGCTTTTTATAATGCTTTTCTTCAAAGACACAATGTGCCTAGATGACCTTTAATACAGCTGAGTGCTGGACTGCCCTTAGATGTTATATAGTTCAAGTAGTCAAGGTGTGTGCCTGGTCTGGATATATGAACATCCAACACAGTCTCATGAAGATGCGTATATATACCACCAATGTCATTTCTCGTGGCATTTATACGCCAAACATGTTTTTTGTGTGCTTATGCTACGCACTAAAAAACCCTGGGGTAGGTTTAGGGGCGAGGGGGGTGGGGAGTTCGTGCGTATTATACGGCAAAAAGTGCGTGTCATATGCACGAGAAAACGCTTAGGCTACCATATACATGCAAAAACTGTTTTTGGCGTATAAATGCCACGAGAAATGACATCCGTGCAATATACGAACTTTCATGAGATCGGGCTCCAACACCCATCTGTCTATCCATTTATCTACCTACCTACCTTGCAACGGTTTATGGTGACACTGGTTATGCAAGAGGCTGTCGGTGTACAGTTTTGAACTATAACGAAAACTTTCTTTAATTCAAATAAAGCTTGAATAAAATATAAATATTAGGTGAAAAAAAAACATTAAAAACAATTAAATTGTGAAATGTATCATGTATGTCAAATACCAGTAAATTGACTAGCGCAAACTTTAAACACTGTCCTCACATAAATGTGGCATCTGAAAGGGAAACTCCTTCAAATGCATGATATGCAATATGGCCAGCCACAAAAAAAATAACTGTCCACGCCTTTTAGCGCTAATTTTTCACTGCGTGTTTTTAGTATCCGTTTTTAGTTTATTAATGCTGGCGCAAGTTGTTAGTAAACAACACGATCACGACAACAAGACGTGAAATAATCACGTTGGTCCACTTTGGAAAACGTGTAGATGTCACGGTTTAACCCCCTCAACGTGAAACTTACACGTTTGCGTTAACACGTTCCATACCCTGATGTTGACCTATTCTACACGCAATCGCCTCAATCGCCATAACGACCTATTATTGGTTTTCATTAAACCGAGAAAAATGGAATTTTGTTTTATTGACGATCACTGAGAAATGTTCTGTTATTTAAAGTGCAAAAAACATTTATTATTTTCAAGGTGAAAAGGATTCATTTGCCTTGATCCACGCCGAAAAAAACGTCTAAATTTCACGTTTTTAATGAAGCAGCCTAATGAGTAAAATTAGGCGTCCCCCAGCTCCTCGTTTAAGCAAAATGTACGCTACAACAACGTATTACATCGACGTCAAACCACGTTAACCGTGTTAACCATAACCTTTTAAATACTCAACCTAGTTCCGTTGCTTAGCAACGGGAAGAAACTCGTGTACTTCAGTGCCGTAGGTTTCAAGGTGAAAAGGATTAATTTGCCTTGATCCACGCCGGAAAAAAACGTCTAAATGTCACGTTTTTAATGAAGTAGCCTAATGAGTAAAATTAGGCGTCCCCAGCTCCTCGTTTAAGCAAAAGGTACGATAAAACAACGTACATCGACGTTAAACCACGTTAACCGTGTTAACCATAACCTTTTAAATATACTCGACCTAGCTCTGTTGCTTAGCAAAGGGAAGAAACTCGTGTAACTTCAGTGCCATAGGTTAGCGCCTTAGTGCTTAGCCTACATATTAGGAGACATTATGTGTTCGCTGCATTTGTAATGTTATACTTTTAATTCCAAAAAAGAAAAATGTTGCTGTGTTTGGTTTTGCATAAATTTGCTTAAATTTAATTTAAGTTTAATGAATACCAATAGGTCGTTGTGGCAGAGGCGATTGCGTGAGAATAGGTCAACATCCGGGTATCTCTCCACTGGTGTTAACGCAAAAACGCAAACGTGTAAGTTTCACGTTTGAGGGAGTTAAACCGTGACATCTACACATTTTCCAAAGTGGACCAACATGATTATTTCACGTCTTGTCGAGATACCGGGTTGTAGTAAATCAGTCCCTGAAACAAAACAAAAAAACTACCTGTGCGAAATGTTATATTTGGTAAAAGGTGCAAACATTATAAATGAAACTTGCTTAATAAAAAAAAGGAGGGCAAAACAAAGCTTTCCTTCATTGCCTGCCAGTCACCAGGTTTGTACTAAGTAGGCTATAATGTAGTAAAACAGTGATATTAAAAGACCAATTACAATATACACCTTATTGATGAAGCATAGGCTACAGGTAAGCAGATCACGGCAACACAGTTTCCCGTTAAGCTTTTTTCCATGGTAAACCATTATAAAGAAAACACATACATCATCAATAAGGTGTATACTGAATTTTAGAGTAATAAAACTGATACTTTAGTGGTGGGGTGCTTGATTATCAAACAAAAATATGATATAAATTTTTTATTTTTTAATGATATATTATTTTAATACAAAATGTTTTTGCATGTATTACTACTACATATATTATTTTGATAGAATATTTAATATAATAGATCTTCAATTCATTTTGGGGTGACTTGGATTGTCCATCTAAGCCATCTGTAAAGAGCAGGGTGAAGTCTGAGACTGTGATTTTTCCTCAGATTGAAAATGAGATCAAGGAGGAACAGAAAGTGAAAATTGCTCTATCAGAGCGCCACGCTAAACTGTCAGACATCTTCAGCACTCAGAGGAAAAGGGAAGATGACATGATTGCTGAAAAACACAGTCTGTCCAAACGGTAGGCCTACATTTGTTTCTTTAGTACTCGTTCTTTTTTGCTTCATCCTGATGACTAACTTGAAATGATTGTTTTGTTCCAGGTTAGAGGAGAATAAACTTAGACATGATGAAGACATTATATCCATTGCCAGATGTAGATTTGAAATTAAAAACATGAAAGAAGATATGATACAGCTTCATGATGCTAACATGTATGGCCCTGTCTTTTTTATATATATATAGTTTTGTCTTACTACATTACAACTAAATTGTTTCATACCTTTATTTTAATGGTTGTCTCTCAGAATCAATGCAGATATGTTCAGAAAAACTCTTGAGGAACAGAAAGGTCAATTGGCCGAACAGAACATGATCAGGTCTGTCTAACATGTCCATTAATCTTCTTACATACTTATGATATCTATATTCTATGGAAGACTTATGTGAAAAACATAATTGAGAAACTTGTTAAAGAGAATTGAGTTGCATATTAAAGAGAATCTTGATATATTCTCTGAATAGAAGAAGCAGGGCTTCTCTTTATTATGCAATCGGCAATGGTGTTTTTTTCTCCAATTATCTAGGGTTTATAAATTAATTTCTGCATTCTTATTTTGCTTCTCATGTCACTTGATCTTAAGAATATTTAGGTATTTTAACCAGGATGAATAAAAGACCACAATGCTGCAATAATGTTTTCAATGTATGAGAAAGTTCAATTAACAAGTAATTAAAAATACCATTTCAAATGGTCTAATTCATGTTTAACGTGGTTAAATAAATTTACATTTATAAAACGTTTAATATGATCTGCAAATGTAGTTAAATGTTATTAGACAGCTGAACATAAAAAGAAATAAAAGGAGTCTCTGCTTCTAAACAAAAGAAAAAGTTCCATAATTTCCATAAAAACATTTTGGGAAAGTGAAAAAAAAGTTTTGTAGTGTTTTTGTCAAAGACTACAAAACAGGCTTCTTCTTCGTCTGTGTTTTGATCCGGAGATTCTGTACTCTTTTAGAAGATGTCTAATATAATACCATTGAAAGCATGTATTGCCTGAAAGGTAATGGTCATTATTATGACATTAACATATTTGTACCTAGGGCAGAAATTGAAGCTGAAAGAGAGAAAATAAGTCAATCTCTCAAAAATCTAAAAGAGGAACACAAGGAGTATGTAAGGAAGATGAATGCATCCATCGAACAAACAGAGATGAGATATGGAGAGCTTCTCGAGGAGGTCTGACAGAATCACTAATCAGTAGTGGTAGCAATACAAACAGACATCGTTGCATCTAAACATGCTGTTGTTTTTGCAGGAAAAGGAACTCCAAGACCATATATTATTGAATTCAGTGATAGGGGATCTTACAGAAGAGATGTCCAACACTGAGGAAAAGGGAAAACAACTGGAAATGAACTACCAGACTGAAATTCTACAGCTTACTGTACAAGAGAAAATCCATATTTCATATTTGTATACTTATTATAAGATGGATGTGGTTTAGCTAAGCGTGCATAACGACATCTGCAAACTAAAAATGTATGTCTTGTTGTGATTCAAAAGAGGGATGCAGAACCAATCGCTCGAGCTCATATGGAGAAAGAACAGGAGCTCAAGGTCAAGGAGTCGGATTTAGAGGCAGTGGAGTCTCAGTTAGACATTGACCACCTGAAACATCAGACTTTAAAGAACTATATAACAGGTACAGGCTTCATTACTGTTCTTCTCATGTAGCTCAACACTTCACTGAACTATGGAGTCATGAACCAGCCACCTGTTGTTTCTCAGCTTGTGTTGTGTTTCTTTATGAGATATTATTTACAATACTGGGTCATTCCCCAAACAGCAACATAGTGCCGGCCCAGATCCGACCCATATGTGGTAGGCGTTGAATCCACATGTACCGGATGTGGCCCGGATCTAGGTCGACAATATGTTGCTGTTTTGGTCTATAATTGCAAAATATTAAAATGAGAAAGAATAGAGATTAACATAGCACAGTAAGTTAATGTTTGGTCAAATTGAATGGCACTTGTAGGTTAACTTAAAGATGTTTTTGTTAAGATTTTGTGTTTGTCCCTTTACCAGAGTTGGAAAATCAAAAGAAAAATCTTGAGCTCTCTATTCAGAAGGTCACAAAGCAGACTGCGACTCTCCTACAACAAAAGGTTGATTTTTTACTCACCATGCACATTTCCAAATTGTGTGCTAAATTGATGGTTATACGTCTACATTAATTCGGATAGATTTGAACGACTCTACATGTTCCTGTGTTTTTCAAAATGTTCTAGTACACACTAAAAACTGTGTTCAAATATGCCTACTACGCCTTCCATATAGTTGGTGAAAAACAGTATGTTTTGTGGATTCCACATGTACCAGATGTGGGCCAGATCTGGACCAATACTATGTTGTGGTCTGGGATAGCAGGCACATACTGGCAGTGGTGGAGGAAGTACTGAATCTCAGTACTTAAGTAAAAGTACAAATAACCAGATAAATATTTACTTTAGTAAAAGTAGAAGTAACACAATGACAACCATACTTAAGTAAAAAAGTAAAACGTACCTGATTTTAAATGTACTTTAAGTATTAAAAGTAAAAGTACTTGCATTTAATTTTCTTAATGTCTATTTTCTAATGATTAATAAAACATTTAATTCTAACTCATTCAACCTAATACTCCTATAATGATGGAAAAAAAATGTCACCATTTCTGAAACAAGCTTGCAATAAGGCAATATACACATCATGCTTATCCTTACTATATGTTAATATGGCAGTAAACGTGATTAATTTATGGTGTAATTCTGAACCTCTTGGCTTGCCATAATCCTAACCAAACGTATATTACACACGGTGCGTTTCCTATGCATGTAAAAACTAATTTTCGTGTATAAATTGCACTACTGTAGCAAATGCAACATATAATAATATACATAAAATGTATTAGAGGGGGCCGAAGGCCAATTTAGCTCAAAGGGAAATGATTCATTGATTTGCAATGAATCTATGAAACCGAATCACTGAACCGAGCAAATGACTCGTTTGGAGTTCATTTGAACGGGCCGTAATTTGCAAGGATATAAATACCAAATCTATAGTGAAACACTATGTCTTAGCAAGGTAACTTTAGATCGAACAGTACAAGACATTAAATGTGCAAACACAACACAAGGCAATTATCTTTTCAAATATATGGAAGCCTTTATTAGCTATTCTAAACACAACTAAGGTCTAAACATAATCACGCACACACACACACACACATTCATACAGTCGCGAAAGGGAAAGAGTGAGTTGGAAAGAAAGTGAGAGTAAGTTTCAACTTTCTATATGCACGTAAGACATAACCTGAAAGGACCACCAAGCATTAATTTGAACCTTCGTTTCTTAGAGAGGTTATTCAATTTACATTAAAGCACCAGTTCAGCTAAGAGTCTGGAGTACTTGCTTGTGTCTTTGCGTGGCTTTGGGGATTCCTTTGTTGCGTTGCATGGAAGGGCGGTTCCCCAGGTCCTCGTGGCGGGTCGTCTTTGAAGTGCCTGGAGGGATTTTTGGAGCTGCCGATCACGTGTGGTTGGCAGGCAAATGAGAGTCCTTATGCTTCGAAGCGCGTTGCGGAGAGCCGTTTGAAACGAAGCTTTGCAGCTTAACTTTGAAACGAGACTCTTACGAAAAAGACAATAAAGGGAAGAAATGAAAGTAAGGCGAGTTGGATGGCTTGAATGAGCTGAATTGTAACCGTGATCTTGATGGGTTATTCGTCTGCTGGTCGAATTTGGTCTAGTCAATGTAGAAGCATGCAAACACGCTCTTTGTTTCAGAGATAAGCACGAACAGAACACTCTCTTGCTGTTTTAGAGAGAGGCACAAACTTAACAGTTACGAACTGGAAACACGAACAAAAATCTAACAGGAACCGAACATTAACATGAGACTGAACATGAGGTCTTGTTCCTTTGTTTGGATCTATAACTTAAACTCTAGTCCAACCTCCTAGAAACTTCTGGCCAATGAAATAATGGCATGAGGTTAGGAGGTGGATCTACTTCTTGCTTATCATAATTTATGCATGGTCTGTGAGCTGGTCTCCAGCACTTAGCAGAGAGACAAAAGACCATAGTTTAAACCTTATGATTATTATAATCATAAAACAAAACCTTTTACGCAAATTCCATCAAGCCATCTTTTGAATTACGAGAATACGGTTCGCTTAAGAGTAAACGAGGCATTCACACTTCTAATGGTTGTATAACAATTACAAGAGTTAATAAGTAACATCAATTACATGATTAATATGTGATCTAAGCATTATCAAACACATATATTGTATGGACATTAGCAAACATAGGATTAGATGCTTGGGCAGAGGTCCATTGAAAATGGTTCTGAAGTGAGTTTGATTTTATGTGGGAGATCTCCGATCTCAACCGTAAGGTTACTGAGGGTTCAACTCGTAGGGGACGAAGAAAGGTGTTCTGTGGAACGTCTCTGTCAGGGGATCAAAGGGGTCTTTGTTGTGAGCCTCTCGTTCCACCATTTTGGAGCCGATT